TTTAAGAAACCACTTGTCTCTGATTCTCATGTTCCAAATAGGTGGTCCACTTGTGCAGATTAGCCTGAAATTACATATGCAGAACCTAAAATGGAGTAAGGGCTGGAGACTCCTCAAAGGCAGGGCATGGGTCCCCTTTATAGTTGTATCTCCAGGCCCAGGTGCAGCTTTTGGTCATTGCAGGTGCTCAGTAAAGTTTGTTGGACAACTTAATGAAAGAGTAAACAAATTACATTTCTGGTTCTTCAGGCTTTTTGTAGGAATAAGAGTATCTTAATACAGAAGCAGGCATTTGTGTTTTCTTTTGCTTTTTTTCTTTCTTCCTTTTTTTTTTTTTTTTTTTTGAGACAAGGTCTTGCTCTGCTCTGTCATCCAGGCTAGGGTATAGTGGCACAATCATGGTCCACTATAGCCTCAACCTCCTGGGCTCAAGAGATCTTCTCACCTCAGCCTCTCATGCAGCCACCACAGCTGGCAAACCTTTCTGTATTTTTTGTAGAGATGGGGGTCTTACTATGTTGCCCAGGCTGGATTTAAACTTGAGCTCAAGTGATCCACCCACCTTGGCTTCCCAAAGTGCTGGGATTACAGGCATTTGTGTTTTCTGAAATGTGTCTCTCAAACTTGATGGTCTAATGGCTACTTCGGTGAGTCCAAAAAACCAACCAAACAAAAAACCAGAAAACAAAAAACCCTTTTAGACTCTTCTATCCTTTTCTAATAGTCGCTGCATAGCATCTTCCCACGTGTAAAGGCATATTTTTTGAACTGTAGTGGGTGACTTGGGCATGAGTCTCTGTACCTCGCTAATTCCTCAGTATTCTATGTGGTTCAGAAATGTTGACCTATTTCTCTTGCTCACTACTGAGGCCAGTCAACTACCTTTCTTAGCGCCTCACTTCTTACGGACACATCTCTGACAGGGCCCATTTCCCAGTGTCTTGCATGAGTGGAGACGTGTGTTGTGTGATGTCCTCAACAAGAAAAAACACACGTTTGCTTGCGATATTTTAGACAATTTTCTTCTAACAAAGGCCCTTGCCTGCCTGTCTTTAGAATCTCAGGCTGCACTGGGCATGGTGGCTCACATCTGTAATCCCAGTGCTTTGAGAGAGTGAGGCAGGATGATCACTTGAGGCCGGAAGTTCGAGACCAGCCTGGACGATACAGTGAGACCTTGTCTCTACAAAAATTTTTAAAAATAAATTAGCCAGCCATGGTGGCATACCAGTAGTAGTCCCAGCTACTATGGAGGCTGAGGCAGGAGATCAAGGTTACAGTGAGCTATGATCATGCCACTGCACTCCAGCCTGGGCAACAGAGACCCTGTCTGTAAAATAAATAAATAATTAAAAAATTAGAATCCCAGCCTGATTTGTGACTAAATGTGTTCACTAAGTGGTGAGAGATGCTGAGATTAAGTGCTGGGGTACATGCTGTTTCAGAGATGGCCCTTCCAATAACCATGTGTTGTGAAACTATTTTATGCATGTGGCCCATTAGCAGGAAAAGGCATTCTAGTCAGTACTGTCACGAGACCATGCAGAGGCATGACATATGTATATTTTAAAGAAGGAGCAACAGTTGGGAATGAACGAAAGACACAGCCAGGGCACCCTCAGAAGCCTATAATTATACTAGTAACCAAACCTTCCCATAGGAGAGCTCATTTTTAGAGAGGTGAAACTGCATCTGAAGACATGTTTCTGAGACACGAATGCTGAGATCTCTTTACCTAGGCATTAGCAATAAAACATCTTTACGCTGATCACATCTTTCCCAGAGACATGAGAAAAGAACATGACTCACCTCATGGTCTAAAAAGGACATTCTGCTTCCCTTCTTAAAACCTTCCGTGGTTTGCTCCACTTTTGGTTTTGAATTATAGAAAGATGAATATTTTTGCCTCTGAGCCAAGAAGACTGTGTGCCGCGTGTCTTTTATACAGCAGCTACACTTCACACACACACACACACATACACACACACACACACACGAAAGTGGTTCTTACCTGATTTTTCCTGTGGCATTTTAGAAATTTGCACTGGGATTTTTAACATCCATTTCTTCTGTCCCCAAGGCACCATCATGAGTCAGTGGAAGGAAAAACATTAACTTCACTTAAGGCTGGAGAAAGTTCGAACAACATGTCGAGAATCACCCAGTGACTCAGAATACCTGCCTGGGCAGTTTCTTCATCCTTTAGAAGGTTCACTTTTCAAACAGCAGGAGATATTTATTCATTTTGGAAGTCTCTTCCGCTGTGTTTCCAAATGGTCTACCTCTAGATTAAGGGGGAAATCACCCAGTTTTCACTAGCTACCACAAGTCAACACAGTGAACATAAAAGTTTGTAAAAGATTATTCCCTCAAAATAAATCTATAGTTGGTTATTATCATGCTTGAGAAGTGTTTTGGAAGTGAGCTCAAGCTTTTCAAGTTGATTTCATGGCACAGGTCTGTGCCCTCATGGCCACTCCACATGCACCCCAACAGTGTCCCTGCGAGATAAACGCCCTGGAGGAGCAAGACCAACATCATCGCCTACCTGACATTTAAACATTTTCTCATATTTGGGTGAAAGCTGGCTTTTCAAATATCTGGGTCGCCACTTTTTCAGTCTTTTCCTAGATGCTTGCGTTGTAGAAAAATGTTAGCTAGAGAAGGCAACTTAACAAACACTTCCACACTCCAGCAGTTTAGGATGTATCACCTTTAGGGCAGCTCATGTTATTACTCAACTCATGGTAACTCTTGGTTCTAAATGAAAAGTTTCCCTTTTTAATGTTTAGCTGTGGTTGAATTTTGTATTTTCTCTGAATCAATAAAATAATCTTAGAAGTTGGTTGGCATCATCTCAGTTTTCCTGCCCCTGTTGGGGCACACAAATTCTCTGCCTCTATTTTACCCTTTGCGTGTTAAGCAATCCTAGTTCCCTTACCTCTCCTAATCCGTTCCTCTCTCCCTCCGGTTGATGGCTCCTCTCTGAGCCTGCTGGGAAGTTCCTGACTGCGTTCTCTGGGGTAGTTCAGGAATATACCCTCACCAGTAGCCCTCACTGTCCAAAACAAAAACAAGACAACTCTTTGCTTGGTACTTTATTATGCTAAAAATAAAATAAAATAAGGAAAAAAAGAAGCACAAAATGACTCATACACATTCCCCCAGACTAACAGGAGGAGAATGACTCACCTTCCCTCCTCAGCATGTATTGCTTATGTCTTATGGGTTAGGACATGGAATCATGTGTAGGTTTCTCTGCCACTTTCTAGAGCCAGTTAAATTCTAAGATCCTCTAAAGTTCAGTAGTCATAAACTGATGATATTAAGTGCTTAGGCATCAAATATAGTCATGGAATGAAAATATGTCTTCCATGAAGACACTGGCTACGACAATGCCCAGCGAAGAAAATCCCTGGAATCTCAACATGGTGATTTCTCGTTGCTGATCGAGATGTGGGGTTTCCCTTCACTGACGATATTCACATGAGCTACTCCTAGTGCACATGACAAAGACAACTCAAGAAGGCAAACTTTCGTATTATAAGTTGAAGGGAAAAGATAAAAATTTCTATAGATTTATCTTTTTGACAAGTTTAAAATATATATTTAAAATACAATTTATAAAATGCTTAATCTGCTGACTCAGTAGCCTGCCGTGCAGGGTGGGGTGGGAGTGGGCAGTTCCCCCTACACCAGCAGAGCAAGACTGCAGGGGTTCGGCTCTCCCTCCCACACCCTTCTGTTCAGACATCCCAGGGACCTCGTGCATCCCTGGAATCACACTAGTTTCTATAGATTTTAGATATGAGAAATTACAGACACTGGCTTCAGTTAGTCAAAAGCAAGAGCTTGGGCTTTTTGATCCTTTAATTAAAGTTCTTGTTCCAAAAAGTGTGTTCAAACACAACCTTTAACAGCTCAATTTCTAAAATTATTTCATAAAAGGAGGAGAGTGAACGATCCTCTATGTGTATGTTCTGCAGGACAAATCTTATCACCAATTACTAAAGCAGGAAAGCGAAGCTTGTCAAAAAGACCTTAGTGGAGAAGCGGTGGGGGATGGGGGATGGGAGATGGAGAAAATGAAAATGTCCTTAAGAATGGCAGCCTAGGCACAATAAAAGATGCAGCACTCCAGAGCAGCCCAGCAAAAATGAGAAGTGGCAAAGCTACTTTTTTGTCTGTGAAATTTGCATTTGTTTCATACTCTTTACTAATGCCATCTGAGTCCCTCCCAAGCGCCTCACCTTCTGTTGTCTCTATTTCAGCCTAAAGACACCCCAATTACGGTGTGCACTCCAGGTATTTAAATCTGTTGAAGGTGGGGAGCAGGGAAGGAGTTTTGCTGTTGTTGCCCAGGCTGGAGTGCAATGGTGCAATCTCCGCTCACCGCAGCTTCCGCCTCCAGGGTTCAAGGGATTATCCTGCCTCAGCCTCCTGAGTGGCCGGGATTACAGGTGCCTGTTACCTCATGCTCGACTAATTTTATTTATTTATTTTTTATTTTTAGTAGTGAAGGGGTTTCACCATGTTGGCCAGGCTGGTCTTGAACTCCTGACCTCAGGTGATCCACCTGCCTCGGCCTCCCAAAGTGCTGGCGTTACAGGTATGAGCCAGGGCGCCCTGCCTGCAGCTATTTCAATCCAAATCTGTTTAACCGGCAACATCAATTAAAACAAAAATGGATTTCCCACAACCAATACCAATTCCTGTGGCCACTCTCATCCCATCTCTTATCTCCACCCACCAAAAAAAAAAAAAAAAAAAAAAAAAAAAAAAAAAAAAAAAAAAAACCGGCAAGGAATAGAGCATACAAACTCTTTTCTTTTCACGTTCTCTAAGTAAACCCTGGGTTCTGGTAGGACCCTGTGTCAACATCCTGCTGTGTGAACTCTCATCCTGTTTAGGGTAGCCAGATTTTATGATTTTAAAACACCAACTGGTCCGATGTATAGTTCAATCTATTAATGGCCATTTATTTTTTTTTTTTTTAGGACATCTTAAATTTTTAATCTTTTCTTTACAGGTTACCTAGACCACTTTTGATTAAGAAAACTGTAGAAAGTTAGTAACTGCCACAAGGGAACGCCAGGCGGTGGCACGTATGAATCTCTAGAGTCCTGCTTTAAGGGGTGTCTGAATGCACTGCACGGGATCTCTGCTCACACTTGCTGGAACCCATCGTGGCAGATTTTAGTCCACAGGTCGCTTTTCCCCATATTTCCTTGTAAACTCTTCAGCATTCTTATAGAATTTTTTACGGTCCTTAGAGTATTCCTCAGCTAGGTCAGCCCGAAGCGGGTGCTCGGGCTGGGGGTCATTCACCAGCGCTATGAGGGACTGGATTACTTGGTCGGTTTTGGTTGCTGGCTTCCAGTTTTCAGCACTAATGACTGGCAGACAGACCTGCCCCTTTTCGTCGATGTTCGGGTGATAGATCTTTGTTTTAAATGTGATCTTCGGTGGTTTGAATGGGTACTCGGCCGGAAAGTTGATTTCGATTCTGAAGGCCCCCTTATCATATGGAGGGTTGTCAGGAACAATAAGCCCTTGCCAAGTAAATAAATTAGCTTCGTCAACCTGGATGTTACGGAAGTTTTCCATTCTACAGTTGCGGATTTCTTCAAGCTCCTTCATCAGCCTGCTGCTGGCCGCCATCTTGGAGTTGGTGTCGCTCCTTTCCCAGGATGCATCGCGGTAACGGCCCCTTGGAATGGTTGCCTGTGAATACACGCAAGTAAAATTCTGATGTGGCCGTTTGAGCTTCCGCTGAGCAAAGCCGCTCAGCCATTGGCTAGTTAGAGTGATCATCCGCAATCCTACACAGGATCATTTTTTTGTTTTGTTTTGTTTTGTTTTTGAGCTGGAGTCTCCCTCTGTGGCCCAGGTTGGAGTGCACTGGCGCGATCTCGGCTCACTGCAACCTCCGCCTCCTGGGTTCAAGCAATTCTCCTGCCTCAGCCTCCTGAGTAGCTGGGATTACAGGCACGCGCCACCATGCCCAGCTAATTTTTTTTTTTTTTTTTGTATCTTTAGTAGAGACGGGGTTTCACCATGTTGACCAGGATGGTCTCGATCTCTTGACCTCGTGATCCACCCGCCTCAGCCTCCCAAAGTGCTGGGATTACAGGCTTGAGCCACCGTGCCCGGCCTTTGTTTTGTTTTTGAGCTGGAGTCTCCCCCTGTGGCCCAGGTTGGAGTGCACTGGCGCCATTTCAGCTCACTGCAACCTCTGCCTCCTGGGTTCAAGCAATTCTCTTGCCTCAGCCTCCCAAGGAGTTGGATTACAGGCACACTCCACCATGCCCAGCTTTTTATTTTTTTTGTATTCTTAGTAGAGACAGGGTTTCACCATGTTGGCCAGGCTAGTCTCCAACTCCTGACCTCAAGTCATCCGCCCACGTCTGCCTTCCAAAGTGCTGGGATTAGAGATATGAGCCACTGCGCCCGGCCTTACACATTATAATTCTACCTGCATATTCACCTGTTGCCTGACTGAAGACTGATATTATATTTAGATCAGATTGCGCATCTTGCATTTCACAACACAAAGTGAGATCCTTGGTGTTTAAATAATTTTTCCTGAAGAATTTCTGTTAATCCAGTTCATGTTCTCAACAGGAAGTAATTCAGACATGGGAAATGATAAAATGTATCAACTGTGAGCCAAAGATGATAATGAATGGAGGTTAAATATACAAAAATACAGCATGCAAAGGGATAGAAATAATAGATTTTGAGGCATTTTCACAAGAAGTTGTCACATTAGAGTACAAATGTATACTTGTTTACTTGAATTTTCAGATATAACTCACTTTGTAGACTATTTAATATACTGAAACCTGCCGTTTTAATTATAAAATGGGACTTGAATTTCTGTAGAACAAGTATTATACCCAGAACGACATGAAAAGTTCAGTAAGAAGGCAGCAAAACTTATTCTAAAATCACATATTTAAAGGTAAGATGATCTTTTACAATAAATTATTAATGGTACTACTCAAAATAAGTTATGGAATATGAATACAAAGTAGAGTTATTTTTATATTTGGCATAAGAACTAAGGAGCTTAAAAAGAAAAGCGGTATTAGAACAACAAAAAATGGGACAGCAGTCACTTGGCTTCAGTAAGCCTTCTCTGCAATATTCTGTAAGAAGAGAATATACGAGTTGCATTTTTAAAAGTTTCCTTGTCGTGGAAGCTTCTGAATTTTGGAAATGAGTGGTTGATCTTGATCAAAGCCTGAAAGAAACACAGACATTGTGAATCAAAATGTAACAGGATAAGCAGAGAGTTCTCTTCTAGCTATAGATAAAATCGCCACGTGAGCATAGGCTGTGTAGACCAGGGTTAGAAAAGAAGTCCATCTGGCAGGAAAATAAAGTGGGAGTCAGAGAGCAAATAAGATCACAGCAGATGTCAGCATACAGAAAACAATTGAACAGGTAAGAATTCAAAATAGTATGTTTATATGGCCTGTATTCCCCAACTACAAGCTCCATATGGGCAGGAATTGTAATTTTGTTCACTGTTGTAGCCCCAGATTCTGGGCCAGTGTCTGGCTTACAGAAGGTACTCCATATATTCCCCCTTGCCACCCCTCACTTTTGTGTAAGCCTCGACTGGAATCCATACTTCTTTTTTTTGAGACGAAGTTTCTCTCTTCTCATCCAGGCTGGAGTGCAGTGGCCTGATCTTGGCTCACTGCAACCTCCGCCTCCCAGGTTTAAACTATTCTCCTGCCTCAGCCTCCAGAGTAGCTGGGATTACAGGCATGCACCACCACACCCAGCTAATTTTTTTATTTTTAGCAGAGACTGGGTTTCACCATTTTGACCAGGCTGGTCTCGAACTTCTGACCTCAGGTGATCTGCACACCTGGGCCTCCCAAGGTGCTGAGGTTACAGGCACGAGCCACCAGGCCCAGGCCATAAATATTTGATGGTGAATAAACATAAGCTGAAGTTTCAGAGGATAGATTTGTCACAGAAAGTTAAGTCCCACAGGTAAGTGATGAACACCTAAACAGTACTATGTTAAGTGTTGGCATGTAATGCAAAAGTAACTGTTATCTAAGACTCAGTAATAAGGGATGAGAATGCATGGGGCTGGGTGGGGAGGAGGAACTGTCTTTGGGAAGAAGGCGTTAGAGATGGTATTGAATGGTGAGTAGTAGGAAAGGCAGGGACTGGAACCCAATGCCAGGCCCCGGGCTTTGTATTCCATTCCCAAGCACCCTGAGAACAGGAACCACTTCACCTACCTTTGAATGCCAAGCACCTGCCTCACTGTGTTTCTAGTAAGTGTTCAATAAATGTCCATGAATTGATAAGTAGACAATTGGGATCCAAGCAGTGCATGCAATGGAACTGCAGGATCAGCATGCTGGCCAGGACCAGCTAGGGCCTATTTCCTTGTTCTCTGTCTCATCCACTTGAACAACTGTGGCCAATCCAGGCCGGGCACTGTCACAATGTGGCCTGAGAACTCCTCGCCCAGGATTAAACATTAAAATGTCAACCTTCAGGCCCCGTTGGGACTTCTTGAATCAAAATCCTGAGTGAGAGGACAGAAACTGGAATGTAAATCAGGTATCCAAGAACTAGGCACTGTGGCTCATGCCTGTAATCCTAGCACTTTGGGAGGCTAGGGTAGGAGGATTGCCCAGCCTGGGCAACATAGTGAGATCTGGTCTCCACAAATAAAAAAATAAAAATTAGGTGGGCAAGGTGACACACACCTGTAATCCTAGCTACTTGGACCACGCAGATCATTGAGCTCAGGAGGTTGAGGCTGCAGTGAGCTGTGATTGACTGCACTCCAGAAACTGAAATCCTAAGAGCAAGAGAAACAACTATTTTGGGTGGGCACTGTGGGCCAGGTACTGTTCAAGGTACTTTCACATATAGTCATTTATTTATTTTTAAATTTCCTGTAAACTCTCAGCAGACATATATAATAATTTAATATGCAATAATCCACAGAGGTAGTTTGATTATAACTATCTGTGTTTGAGGAAACGAGTTCAGGGATAGTGTATGACTTGCTTAACACTGCATGGCAAGTAACTACTGGGATCCAAATTCCTGAGCTTAATTTCAGAGACTCTCCTACATCTCACGGCACCTTAGGGAAATGTAGAATCCAGGAAACCAGGACGTTATGCTGTGCCTGTCTTCAGGAAATGTACAGTCAGCCTCTGTTGGTTGAATCTGCCTAAATGAATCTCTGGAAATCAAGAGTTGATGTTATAACGTTACATCATTCTAGATCCTAGCGTGTCAGAGTCATCTATGACTTTAAAATCGGGGGGGTGGGGAGGTGGGAAGAGATAGCATGGGGAGAAATGATAGATACAGGCGAGGGGACGGAAGGCAGAAAACCACACTGCCATGTGTGTAGCTATGCAACAGTCTTGCATGTTCTTCACATGTATCCCAAAACCTAAAATGCGATCAAAAAAAAAAAAAAAATCCTAGTAAGTCCAAGCACTGGGTACAGTGGTTTGTCTGAATCCGTACTAGAAAATTCACGTGCAGAGTGGACAAGTGCCTTAACAAAGTGAAGGCAGAGGTGGGGGAAGACAGCTGGAGAGGTGCCGACTGTCACCCCCACACCTAACACTGCTGTTGGCTCCAGCCAACAGTCCCACCCAGAGTGTCCCCGTCTTCTCATGTTTCAGAGAAGCCCAAAGTCCAGCTTTCCATCTGGAACATCATGATTTTGAAATATCCATAACTAATTCAAAAATTTAAACTACACCTCCAAGGCCAAACAAACAGGTCTGGAAGACAAGTTCAGACCCATGGAGCTCCAGCATGCACCCTCTGGTTGGGAACAGAGAAATCCCAGGACATTAAGCTACATAAAGTAACCGGGATATGGTTTAGTGAAAATGGTTTCCATCAGAACCTGTCTGTGTATCTGTTGGCATGAAGGTGTATCCCTACCACGATTTTTGGTTTAATTTAGGAAAATATGCATTGCATCATCTTTTGATTTTATACAAGTGTATCAGACGTGGGCTGAAGGCCCAATTTTTGTCAATTGGAATTGCATCTTTCTATTACCCTAGAATGTAAATTGGAATTGCATCTTTCTGTTATCTTTCTATTACATAAGGATGCCTCATTCTGGTTTTTGAGTGATCTTCAATGGGCACTGGGCAATTTTAAATGTATGACTCCCCGGCCTTTCAGTTTATTTCATTTTTTTGAGACAAGGTCTGGCTGGAGTGCAGTGGCGCTATCGCAGCTCACTGCAGCCTCCACTTCCTAGGCAGTGCATCCAATGGAGCTGCAGGATCAATCAGCATGCTGGCCGGGACCAGCCAGGGAATCAGCCATCTTTGTTCTCTGTCTCATCATGCCATCCTCCTTCCTCAGCTTCCCTAGTAGCTGGGATTACAGGTGTGAACCACCATGCCCGGCTAATCTTGTATTTTTTCAGAGATGGAATGTCGCTATCTTGCCCAGGCTGGTCTTGAACTCCTAGACTCAAATGATCCCCTCTGCCTTGGCCTCCCAAAGTGCTAGGATTACAGGCGTTAAGTCACTACACCAGGCTGCCCGAGTTTATTTTAAAGGAAAATAGAGTAAACTCTCGGGGGAAGAACCTCCAGTTTAATAACACTCTGTATTGTATCTGCTTTACTGTA